AAAAATAGTCGGTAGCCAATGAAAATACCATGTTCATTTGCATATGACCGTGAACATACCGAAAACATTATTGCATGGGTGATATGCAAATTAGTTTGGGCCAAAATAAGTGACTGTCTAAAAGTACCATTACTGTTGTTCAAATTTCATTTCACTCGGCAAGTATATTCATGTACCCCAAGGGGAAAATATCGTACTTCTAAATATTGTTTATTCCGAAAAACTGTACTCCTGAAGGGACTACTTTGTTTGCTCTCAGACCTCATTTGCATATGGGTTGTGGAAATACCGATTTTGATTTCAGGAACGAATCAAAATAAACTGCAGTACATATGTTAAATGAGTGTTTATCCACGAGGAAACAATCAGTATTCAGGTTATAATACCCACAACTTTGTTAAATGAGTGTTTATCCACGAGGAAACAATCAGTATTCAGGTTATAATACTCACAGCTTTGCAAAGAGAGTGGGCATTCCTGTTTATCCATGGGGAAATTGTCAGTTTTCATGTGACAAATGAGTGTCAAAGTCAGTCTGTAAGAAAAGAAGAAACATAATGGCCAAGGGTCATGAGATTCATAGATATATTAATAAGGAAATATTAGTTTGGGATTAGATGCATAACATATTCTGTTACATCTATTATATCATATCATACATAAAGTTACACCTTATTTTCCCACGCAACATACAACCAATATTAACCAGACGTATACAAGTAATTGCCAATAAATATTCTAGATAAAGCTTAGTTAAATAGGTAGCATAATATACACACGGGGGCAAGTGGCTGGTATTAGTAGCACATACGATTGTTGTGCGAAATTGAGAACATCCCTTTTTTTAAATAAAAATTCCGTCACTCTACTTTTTTGATAGATTGATAGACTTTTTAGATAAACGGTGACTTATTTCTGAACAAGCCACACTTTATCCCCAAAAGAGTTGTTATTTTGTTATTCCGTTCGCGAAGTTATACAAAGTATCCAGTTTTGTTTTTTCATGAACATGCAAACATTTGAAAATATACGCATTTCTCCGTTAAATTCAGAACGCACATGCGTATTCCACTCTCAGCCAAATCCTCCACAATAGAAACATATACAGCCGAAATAAATCCTCCAACCTCACATACCTTGATCGTACTTACCCATAACACCTGCCAGGTTATCAAGCAATCATATGTACACGAAAGGAGGTAACCACCCTTTGTGACACAAACACATTCACAGTCACAGTGATAGTAGTAGCTCAAAAACATTCAATGGATAGACATGTACAGTGAAGTAGGGCAAGCAACACAAATTCTGCATGGAGATTGACAAACTGAAATAATTTTGCGTTATCCATGTAGAAATTTAGTCTCTAATGTTGGCTCTCTAATTATAAAAATATCATTTGGTATCACTGATCATTACCTCATTGTTAAAACAACTGTACCATTCGGCCATATTTGTAGATACTGATTCTCATCAGCGAGGTCGTGCAGTTTCCCGTCCTTTTCACCCGGGAATATAATCAACGGGGTCCAGATTTGCTCAACAGCCTCGGACTGGAAAATTAGAGCGCCCTCCGCGTTGGACTGCAAACGAGGATCACGCCAGACTTGTCGCAAATAAAACGTCACAGCATAATCCTATCAATATGATAATACTAATAATTCAGAGCAGGTACAACGAGAACTGAGCGAAACGAACTCCCATCACAGTGTAATGAGTGGAATACTAGGCCTTCTGTGAGCAATGTTGCCACGAACGTATTAACATAAATTTTCATCTTTAAGGTAGAAGCCTACTCATAAATTAAAGATCACAGAATGTATTCATTTTGCAATACATTGTACTCCAAGGCAATATAAGGATATTGACCTAAAATAAGTTGGGGGTCACCAGCCTTTTTTTCGAGAAATTGATGGTTATCTTTTAGAGTAAAGTCACCAATTTGGCACTATTATAACACTTTTATCACAGGTTCCTATGGCAGAGATAGTATGTAATATCTCAAAATCTAGCCTGGTGACATAGGTTGAACAAATAATATATTGTTAATGATGGAGTACTTTTGTTGTTCTGAGTATTTAAAAAATCTGGGTTTTAAAAAGTGTCAAGAAATGCAATTTTTCTTTAACATTTTGTTCTATGGAATTGTTCTAAAAATAGCAATATTAGGACAGGTTTCTCAAAAAGCATAACTGTAATACACAAATTAATGCTATTTCATTGTACCATGGGACATTAGCTTCATGATTGTACATAATAAACTAATGATCATTGTCATCCGATTTATTTTTCAAAAATTATGACTAGGCTTCTACCTCGAAACTTCGTATGGTATAGTTATGTGTGACATAAAAACAACATATAAATTTATTAGAAACTATGACACACTCTGCATAGTACAACAACCGAATTAGTATAATAACAGTTACCGTTATTGAAACGGTGTAATATTACGAAATGTATTATGTGTAATCGACATGTGCATGCAATACTAACAAAATATAATTATTAGTTTGATATGCTCGGTTGAGTCGGACAACCTACTACTGGGAACAAAATTAATTAAAATACTCAATATAAAATATCATATTACAATGAACATAAAGTCGTGCAAAGTCGTTCAAGCAGCAAATGTTATGTATAAAAGGATACCAGCATCTATAGCGTTATGTCTATTATGTTAATGAATGATGCGTTATGTGTAAACAATACATGACATTTCCATATTTAATTTAGGCTATCCCTCCTCCCAAAGTGTCATAAAAAATGCAATAAAAAAATAAATAAACCTACCATACTAGATGCATCTACGGTGCTAAACGTTGATATAGACAATGCACATTTTACTTCCAAAGTCTTCTCTGTAAAAATAATGACACGGACACAGAACAGAAAAACATTCATATTTATAGGTATAATCGATTGTAATATTGTTTATTATCATCCGATATCACTGTTCGGTCGTCATCTGATATACTGAAGAATACTTTATTTTCGCTATTTTCGCTGAAGGGATGACTCCGTGAAAATAAAATCCAGCGAATATACTTTTTTTTCCTATATTTCAAACTCATCAAAAATCAGTGAAAATAAATTCCAAGCAAAACGCTCAAAAAGCCTTTTCAGCGAAAATTAATTCCAGCAAAAATAAAGTATTCCACAGTATATATCACTCGTGACGTCATGGGCCGTATCTTCGCGTCATGTTCGAGCACACACAGACTGATGTTTATTATGCATATCCGCCATGTTTAGTGTGAATATATATCAACGAGAGATATGCACATTGAAACACAATACCGTGAATGATGTGCACCATCTATGCTTTATGTCATCAGTAAATGAAGTAAATTGCGATTTTTTTTCAAAATTTACGACACATTTCAAGATGAATTTGTGCATTACTTGTTTTCTGCGTTTTCATTTACTAATACTCGAAAACCACGGACATGTGTTAATATGAGGTTA